TTGTTGCTCAAAAAAGTACATCTTATTTTTGGGGGGCAGAATCACACATTTTTGGCCCCATGGATTCCTACAGGAGCTCCTGAAAAGTGCAATTTCATGCCCAACAACCACGTTTACCCCCTAGTGACTAGTTTTCCATTGGCTGAAACAAAAGCGCTCAAGCCTACAAAAGCCTGAAAAATGCACACAAAAAAAAACTGCCTGAAAACATTCATACTCTCGTGTGAAACGAATAATAAGAGGGGGGTTCCCTACTCCACTATAGATATTGTTGCCAATCAGCTGTGTTCTTGTCCCGTAAAACATCAACAGGACAGGAAGTGAAGGTAAATATTATTTAAAATTTTTTAATAAGACATGCATTTAGATGAACTTTTTGGCTACCTGACACATGGATGGGTGGTCAAGCCCAGGGCTGATGCTTACATGTAGTCATTCTACCCTTGGGACTTATAATGGATGGAGTGGAAAGGGATTAGAACTGTCAGTTAAGACCATATCCCCGATAAGGAGTTTCTATATGTTCCAGTGACCTTTATCACTGTGAAAAGTGGAAAAAATCCCAAGTTTCGGGCTGTCAGAACAGGAATAGATAGGAAATCTTCCAATGGTGACACTAGTTCTGGGGACTCTGCTGACCACCAGGGATTTTCCTCATTTTGGAGGGATTTCCTTTCACTTCCTGTTGTGGCTATCGGACAGGAAATGAAGAAAAACCTCCCCAATGGGACACTGGTGGCAAAAAAACCTGACAAGGGTTAAAACCCTCCCTTACTCCATCCAAAACTAAAATAACTGGCTTTAGTTCTATGTTAAAGGTGCAACAGAGGTCAGTTGGATGTGGAGGCATTCAAATGTCGTCATCAAGGCACCACTCCTTACAGGCCGTTCTATAAAAATATGTTTCACAAACACTTAGTGATATGTTTTCAGTGTACGCATTTCCATTAATCATTAGAATAGAGAGATTAGTAGATTATGGTTTTAACTGCAGGAATATAGCACATGGTGTTCAACTGCAGCTTTTCACAGAATTCCACGTCTGTTGTTCTGCATTGCATTTAGCTGGTTACCATGCAAGCCATTAAAATATTAGTTGTCTGTTATTCTGACCCACTGACTTCATTACTTTAAGAGTCTGAGGCTGATTTACTAAAGCGGTATAGGCTGTTCACTGTACAAGGAAATTTTCCCTTAGCTTGGTAAATGTGGTGACAATTCACTTTGCAAAGAATATCCAATCATGTGCAATGAAAATAAAAACATGATTGGATGATGGAAGTCAGCAGAGCTTCACCTCATTTACCAAGCAAAGGGAACATTTCTGTGCAAAATGAACAGTCTATTCGCCTAGTGAATCACACCTAGGGACTCAAAATTGGTATACAGACCAGGAAAGCCAATGTAAAGTCAGAAGTCCTTTTTTGTGTATTATTTTAGATGATTATGTAAAAGTGTTTATATAAGGGTCAGTGTTCCAGCCAGGCAGCTAACATTTGCAGAATATTGCACTGAATAGTATCGACCTGCATAGCAGCATACCCAGAAATCAAATGAATGATAAAAGGTCGGAACCTCCACTGCCATAGAAGGAACATTAGAAGTCTGCCCTGCCTTGTCTAGCACAAATTTGCTTACAGGAGCCCCTTCCAAATACCAAAGTTCACAGTTATAAGTGCTGATTAAAGGAGAACTATGAGATGAGTGATTTCCACTCACCTCATAGTTCTAGCCGACCGGTGACAATGAGACTGTCACAGGTCGGCTCAGTAGATCGGGAGGTAAACGAACACATACCGGGTTCGCTCACCTCTCGATCCTGTCACGGCTCTCTGCCGTGACAGGGGGAGGGGCTGGATTCCCCGCTCCGATCTGCCAGCGTTGACTGGCGGAACGGACGGGTGAGGGGGCGGGTACAGCTGGCTTAGGGTAACGGGAGGATGCTACTTTGTGTCCTCCCGTTACCCTAAGGAGAACTATGGGGAAAAACACTGACGCCATAGTTCTCCTTTAAGTGATCAACCCTACTTGCCTTCTTTTGCCTACTAAAAGCAGATCTTCAGGTATGTTCCGAAGCTGTAGGTGGCACTTATATGTGCTGAAATGTGTTGTTTTAAACAATCTTTACAAAAAAATAAATATGTTACAATGTGATTAGAGTGACTCTTTCGGCAATAAAAAGAAAGCAGCCTGCCATAAAAGTTAATAAATTATTATCACTATGGGAGCCGTAACTCTTTTGCATAGGGAAGATAGGACTCGCCACCCACTGGAAAGGTTCGAAAGATACTTTAGCGTCAGGTCACACCATAGGGTTGTGCTAAATACACAGGATCCAAGGACACATTAGGTATGCTGGTGCATCGTAGTGCCATTTATTGTGAATGGTGCCCCAATGAACCTCCTGGCATGCATTACTCTTTTTCAGTGTACGCTATTGTGGTACCATGTGTTGAACTTCTTGTCTGCTCACTGGGAAGTGGGTTAGGGTGCATTTCAGAATGAATGGCAACACAATGCACTAGTACACCTAGAATACAGTAACGTGCTCCATGCAGCGCATGCGCTAAAAGCATGGATCCTGTGTGTTTAGCACAACACTATGGTGTGAACTGACACTTATTTCAGCCTCCCTTTTTAAAATTTACCATGACAAAAGTGCTTTAAAGATAACTACACTTTTGTAAAGTTATCTGTTCAGCTGCCTTTCCTCGCCAAGGATTTGATTTTGCACTCGTCTACACTTCTGGAGATCCACCTTGTGTGGAGCAGCACTGTAAACTCTCTGACCAGCTGCTCACAGCTTCTACACATGCATAAGTAACATCCTGTCCTCTAAACACACAATAGACAGTCACTCCATAGAAATTAATCTGATTTTTTCAGTATATGTACAGTAGAGCCAAGGGACCTACTGAAGAGTTTGCAGTTACCTATGGGACATATAGCATGGATCTTGCAGAAACATGGACAGTTCACAGTATTTCTTTGGAAGGGCCTTTAAAGGAAGCTTGAATTAAAAGAAGGCAGCCACCATTGCTCTTTTCCATCTGAAAATGCTTGTTGCCTGGCTTCCATGATCCAGTGGCTTCAAAGCTTTTTGAATTATGGACCTGGAACAAATATGTGGATCAAGAGTTGACTTCACCCTGACCTTAAGCTGGTCATACACCTATAGATTTTCTGCAGATTTTCTATGGTCAGATGGAAAAAGTGCAACAGCATTCTCCATCTACACTAAACTGTGTGGATGGCGGAATCTCCCACTGGGCCAAACTTCAGTACCTTGCTAGTCGACCCCACTGGCTGCCAAAAAATCTGAGCAATCTGATTGGATGCATGCATTCTTCAGGTGTTTTGAGAGTCAGCGGGGCCGACTAGCAAGATACTGAAGCTTGGCCCACAGGGAGTTTCCTCCATCCACACAGTTCAGCGTAGATGGAAGAATCTGCTGCACTTTCTCCATCTGGCCATAGAAAATCTGCAAATAATCTATAGGCGTATGGCCAGCTTTACTTGCTTCAATCTTGTTTCAGGTCAGTAATACTGAAGCCACGAACAGCCAGGAATTTATCATTTTCAGAAGGAGGTCAAAATCCTTAAAAGTGATATCATTTAAAATGTCGGTGATGATACCATTCCTGTTTTAGGGTCCTTTAGAGTGAAGATGAGGTTCTTCAAAGTGTAGAGCTTTGCATTTTGTAAATCTGCCAACTCTAGCCATCTTATTTCATTCATTATGTTTAATTGTCTCCTTTATAAATCAACCTTCAAGTTGCTACTGACACAGTTTAAAGCTCACCCGTTTAAGCACAGGAATGTTATGAATATTTATGAGATTATATGGAATTCCTGCACTTGCTTTAACTTTTCTAATATATTTTCCAGCCTTCATACTTTAGCAAGATTCTGATGCAATCTCATCTGTATGTGGTACATCATAGTGAGATGCTACAGTCTGATTTGCTGTCTTTATATCATTTATTAAACATATCTATTTTATAAATGTACTTCCAACAGGGTGCAAGTCTACCGAAAACCTAGACTTCAGATTTTGGTAGATGTCTGAGAGTTTAATCTCATAACTCTCAGACATCGACTATTACTTTTATTTCTAGGTGGGTCTGCACACCTGCCACAGCCATTTCAAAAGGCACGCTGCTCTAACTGTTGGATTTCTCATTCATTTAGATTATAGAAAATATAACAGATTTAGAGGAAATGTCTCAACTCTAAGGTGGGTGGTAACCAAACCATGGACTATGGCAGGGAGATCACACCACTGTATTCCCCAAAAGATATAAGAAGCCGGGGATGATCAAGATAACCAGAACAAACAAACAAAAAAGTATCCAAAGCCAAAACCTGTTTGTGTGTTTTTTTTTCCATTTCTGAGTAGAGAATAGTTAAAACCAACATTTTTTTTACATCTCATTGGGGAAATTGAAAGTGAGAGAAACTCTCCAAATTCAGAGAAATCCTCACTTCCATTGGAAGACTTTCTTTTTTATTTCTGTTTTATTAACAACTCAAAATGTTGGATACTTTCTCACTTTTAGTCCTGTGACATTGATTAGGTACACTCGTAATATATTACTCCGATCACTCAAAACGGAATTTGGAATTTTCTGGCAACATATTCATTATTTCCTCCTTCTATTATATCCCCATTTTCCCAAAGTTATCTCAAAAAAATTATTATTTCCTTTTCTACATTCTGTTAAACTACCACAAACCAGATCTCTTTAACAAGGCAGTGCCAACCTCTACATTTCTAAATTTTTTTACAAGCCTTGTATTAATTTTCTTTCCAGTTAATGTCATTTCAATGCATGTTCTGTGCACCTTGGGTGCCTAATATAAAAAATATGATACATGTGTTTCTAAAGTCAATTTGACATTTCATTGAAAGCAAGTCACAGGAGCTGCCGAAAAGCTGACTTGGGTTAAAATAGCGGCAATAAGTCACAGTCTCTCAGAGTAATAAATGAACACATTACCTTGTTAAAAGAAGTTCAGTGATTGCAGCCAGACAAGTGTGGTATCCTGTATGGAAAGCAGGTGAATGGCAGTGTAGCTGGAGGAGTGGAACATAATGTGAAAGGATAATTAGGCGGGGCCAGGTTTCCCTGTGTGTAATAAAGCACCTGAGAACCTGCCGGACCTGATTTTCAGATTATTCACAAGTCATTTTACACATTGCCAATTCTTGTAAGAGCCTTTACTTTTGTACATTCAGTGGGAGATCTTTTACATTATGAATATTTGTATTGATCCGGCATTTCACTTTAGAATCAAGCTGGAGTGTTCATTATAGATATAAAACTATATGATATATATATTTTTTGTATTTCCTTATTGAAAAAGTAGAAAAACAGTACACAAATCAACATTTCCATCATACAGATAGAAAAAGGAAAATATCCCCCCTCCTAAAGCATAAATCACTTAATTCATAATACCTTATTAAAACCCTACTATTTGTTGAAGTGGATGTTTCTGCAGAAACTTAAAAACAGCGCTTAATAAACTTTCAATTGTAGAACAGAGCTCTCACACACATATAATCATAAAACTCCATTATAATATAGTGGGAGAAACGTCTCTCTACATCCAAAAGCCTAGAGGAACCCATTTTTAACCCACTACTTTGTATACATTTTAAGGCCGCCAGAATCATGTTTGTTATTAAGGGGGTTATTCACAAAAGGGTGAAGAGTTTGGAGAAGGAAGGAGAAGAGAACAATCCAGGCCAAGATAGCTGATTTGAAAAAATTATCCAATTCTGCTCACTTTCCATTTCCGCTATGTTGTCCTATATTGTTCACTTCTCCTGTCTTCTCCAAACTCTTCACCCTTTAGTGAATAATCCCCTAAATCTTTATCAGGGCCTTGTATTAGGTCCACTTCTTAAAGTGGAGTATGGCTGGTTGTTTAGTTAGTTTCCTATGCCATTCCGCTAATTTATTCCAAAATTACCTCTTCTTATAACATTCATACATTCATCCAGCATATGATTTATGTTATGTGATTAATTTCATGACATTTAATAGTGGCATAGAGCTACTAACAATCACCCCTGTAGCCCCAACCATAGACCAGGCTAACACTGGGGATTAAGGGCCTGGTCACACTAGGCCATGCACTTACATGTTCCCTTTTTAGGAGTAAGGCTAGTGTGTTCTGACAGGTTCTATGAACGTACTTTGTGATATCTCATCACACTGTTTACTTTTTCTTTTTTTACATTTTATTTGGAGTGTACACACAATACACTCCTTTTAAGCCCTTGCACCACAGTTAGGTGTACTGCGCTTTGGTGCGGTAAAGTCCAGTGTGCTGCGAAAAAATAGTTGCTGAAAAACGCCAGTCACTTTATATAGTGGGAATGAGCCCTCCATTTTTTTGCTGGGGATTAAACTACTTGATGCCCATCATCTAGTTAGCAATGCATTCATTTTAATATTGTGTAAATGAGGATACTGCCAAGGAGTAGTATTCTATCACTTAGTGCACTTGCTTTGCTTCTTTGGTTATGTCACAGGAAAGACTTAAAGAGACAATATCTCTTTTTTCTTCAAAACAAGCCCTGTTGTCATAGCCATTGGGTAAAATTAACTTTTAGAAAACAAGAACTAACTGAAGAATGCAATGCAAGGTAGAGTCTCATTGCTTTACAGGACAAAGGACCCAAAAGACTGAGGTGTCTGGATCACCTCAAAGCAAATGTGTGCTTCACCCATGGACAGCAAAGGAACAGGTTCACTTTAGCACATATCTTTCCTTAACTCCCTTGCCACTTCTGGGTTTGGAAGAGCATGTAACTTGCTCCTCAAGCTCTCATGTGACAGCACCGGTGTTTGTAGATTGGCCCATTGCTGTTACACAGGGGGCACGGAGAGTGCCCTCTACCCTGTGAAAGCTCTGACTAGGGTGACTCAGTGCTTCCCCAAACATTTTTCTTTGCTCTCAGTGACCTAACGGAGTGTCAGTGGAGTGAAGTAAAGGTGAGTATGTTCTGCTAGGCTTAGTGTAGCTTTGTCCTGCAAAGACAAATATATTTTAAAGTACACCTACCATAAGAGCATTTTGTAGGCTGCTATTGCTGATCTTTTTGCTTGTGTAGGAAAACATAATAATTTGTGTAGACTGTACAAGTACCATGGCCTTTTGGATGTTAGGGCCCCATTTATACTAAATGTGGAAAGGAATCAGGAACACCCCTCTTCTGGGACTTGTGGTTCCCTGTTTTAATGTATGATTTATATATTAGGGATGCACCAATACCATTTTTTCAAGAACAAGTACTGATACTGGTCTAAGTACTCACAGATAATATATATATATATATATGCACCAATACCATTTTTCCACACCAAGTACAAGTACCGATACTTGTCCAAGTACTTACAGATACCAATTACTTATACCTTTTTTTTATTGTCATGTGACAGTTTTTCTAAAACAAAACAGACATGTACATGTTAATTCTGGTGTACAGAGTCCCACACCAGCTTTTTATTTCACTCGGGGGACACTGGAGGCAAGATCTCTGAATATGAGCTCTCATGTCTTGTAACTTCCTGCAGCCATTACTAAAAGGTTTCATTTCCACCTGTTGGGTTCTTCAATTTTTTGTAACTGCAAAGAATGCCACGTGTGGAGTGAGATGTATGCACCTGTAGCAGGGTAACTAAAACTATATGATAGGAGGTGAAAAAAAGTCAGGGACTCCACTTGAAAGACTTTACTGCTTGAATACACGAGAAATAACAGGTCCACCAGTTTCACCAATAACAAAATATGTGATTTAGGTGGAGTGACTGTTTGATAAATAGCAGCTTCAGATTAACTAACCTTAATGTGAATGTTAAATATAAATGTAGCACACACACTGGCGTATATACAAAACAGCCCCCAGCTGCATGATAAAGGCTGAAAGGCAACTGGAAAGACTGGTTGTTTTTATATCATCTGAGATGAATGGACAGAAACTCTTGGAGTCTGCTAGCTAGAAAGATATTGATTACAGACTCTTTCATTCTGTTTTGTGCTGAAGAACATTTTTGTCTGCCATCCATAATGTAGAGTTCCGCCTGTATACTTTTCCAGGCGAATGTAAAGGCTGAATTAAAATAGAGAAAGCCTTCCAGTTTTAGGCTGACGTTGACACTGATGTTGGAAAGTGACGGAAGTTCATTCAGTACGGATAAACTGTCTTCATAGATGAGAAAAATATGGACTATTTTTGTAAGGTTCTGTTTCTTTTTCCTTTTGTTTGTTTTCTAAATATTCTGCACAATATATAGAATATTTACTGGCTAATGTGCACAACATTTACAGTTATGGAAAAAGTATTTTGTGCAAATGGTCAACTATACATTTACATGTGCATTTGTATTTTTTATTTTTATAGTAGTGTCTATGTACGTCAATGGGGATCGTTTTGAACTCAAAAACTAAAGATTTGCTGTGTTATAGGTGACATTCAGAAAATTTTAATAATACACAAAGGAGTACCCAGAAAATGTACCCTTTTTTTGAAATTCCTCTTGAAAAATAGCAGTGCACTTTCTGGTATGTGTGTCTAGACACTCCTGTGCCTACAGCCTCATAGCTGTATATCTGCAATGTGACATTTAAGGTACTGCTGCCTCTGATTTCTACACTCATAGATGTGAGATTTGAATTGAAATTTGGTTATGTCACTTCTGTGCTTCTCACTGTTCTCCTTGCTTGAGGCTTTGACATGAGTAAGCCATAGCTCTACCAAGATGGCCTCCCCCACACAGAGACATAGTGCAGAACAAGGCATGTTAAGTCTGTGACAGGGAAAGATCAGCTGCAAGGAGACCAAAGGAAATGCTGATTACTATTCATTTGCCTTCTGTCTTGATTTTGGGGGGCACGACTTCCAGTTCAGTTTTTCTTTAAAGATGCTGCAAGAAAAGAAAAATGCCTGTTGATCCTACCAGAACTCCAGTGCGCACCTAGCTTCTTGTACACTCTATTTGTGCTGTACATTCATTCATTGCTAGCAGCCCTGCCCAGTTCTCCTCTGTGGACTGCAGAGCACCTTGCCCTTATGTTGTGGATATGAGGAAGGTGAGGTTATCCGCAGTCCTGACACACTTGTTGCCCTAGGTTGACAACACTACCTCTCCATAGATATAGTACAGAGAGTGAGCATTGTCACCGTAGAACAGGAAATGTATTACTGTCAGAATCAACAGGTGAAAATAATTGAAAAAAATGTAAGCTAAAAATGTGTTGCACTTTGTTCTTAGGGAGTGCCCTCCCAAGCTCCAACATACAGTAGGGTACATTACTGTACCCTGTAGTTTTTCACACATTACACACATACCTGTCTGGACAAACCCTTTGAAGGGCATTGCATATGTTTTTAATTTAGTGTAAATGGCACAGGTTTGGGGGAAAACACCACTTATTTCCCCCTGAGCCTGGATGGGTTTCAGGCTAACACTGAACACTGTAGCTCAGCAGGGGATGTGTTAGACCTCTACACTTTCCCACTCTATCCAAAACTAAAAAAAAAACAAAAAACTTGTGACTGGTCATAGGAAAGCTTCCATAGCCCACTTTCTCAGTAATGAACATAAGAAGAGATGCTGTCTTTAGTAAAACACAGTTTTCCGCTTACATAACTTACTTTGGATGCCACCTCTGCATTTAGTAGGGAGCATAAGCTTTGCCTTGAGTTTATGGGTCTGACTGAGCAGGCAGGGAGTTTTGGATAGAGTGGGAAAGGGTTAGGCCAATAGTGGGCAACTTTAAAAGTATTGGGGTCCTCGACTGCAGCCCTTATATTATTCAGTATATGCAATACTACAGAAGGCTGTCTGTGGACTACGGGAGATGTTCAGAGACTTTGGACATGCTACAGGTGTGGTTGTAGACTAGATACATACTGCAGGACACAGACAGAGACTAGGCATGTGTTAAAGGGACTGCTAGAGATCCCTGCCATTAAACTCCTTTTACAAATCAATGCTACCACTCCCAATAATGACTGCTTAGGTCCATAGACCACAGAATGAGCAT